CCGGTTCAAACCAAAGAATTTAAAATTGGTTTTTGTATCTTCTCCTCTAAGCACGCGGCATTAAGGAGTAAGAGAAAAGACTGGTCGGCTCGGAGTCAGAATAATGTGTCCGGGTAAGGTGGCATGTCTTCCTGTGGACTGTTACCTTGTGAACTAGCACATTAAAAATCCGGCTAAGCGTGTCGGTCTAGTAAAAAGCAAGGTTACTATTCATGTTACATTATCATGTTCTTGTCCTGAATATGCATATTAATTTGCCGCTGGACGTTAAGCAGCCATCCATCATCATCATCATCATCTTATCGCCGAGAAATCAAGATAAACATATCGATTTTTGCTATATCTGAATCTTAGTGCTAAGTGTTGGTATTGCAGGAAAACTACAAGTGCACAAGAACAGACAAGAACAACGACATCGCTTTGAATAACTGTTTGCGACTTTCCAATGTCAATCCTATGAAGGTGAAATTCGCAAAAGAAATTTTCGGAGAAGGGTATTCATACGGAAACGAAATATTTTTTTCGCGTATGAGAATGGATATCTCAATCTCGTGACAACAATATGTTTCGAATAACTCTAATTTGCTGTTGTTTCTCAACGAATGTAAAATAAGCGCGAAATACGGACACGTTTATTTCTGGGAAGCGCGATATAACTTATCTAAATAGATAAAGGAAACAAGTGTAAAGTCACTTTTTGTCAGCTGATTAATTTCAATTTATCTTATTCGTCTGATTTTAGTGGATATATTTATTACTTTTGGTGTCTTTATTCGCTTATGTAAAAATTAATTTGTGAGTGTTGGCGTCATTCCTTACCGTAGAGATACAACAAATTATAGTTGGCAATCTGGTAAAAAATCAATGAGCATCGGCCTTTTTCCGAGATTTTTTCCCTTACTTTTTATATTCAATTTAATTTTTTCTTTTTTTCTACCTTCAGGTTACAGCTGATTTTGAAATAACATTACAATTTTTGCATAAGTAACTTTGTCGTTATATATCAGTAGTGTACAATCGGGTTGCACAGAAGTCACAAAAAGCCAAAAATCACACAGAAGAATGTAACAAAAACCACAAAAAGAAACAACATATAACGATTTAACAACAAACCACAAAGACCGATGTAATAGTAAATCACAAACAGGAACTACATAGAATGATGTCACGACAATCAGCAAATAGGGACCACCTGGAATGATGTAATAACAATAACACTTAATCAAAATCAAAACCAAATACAAGTATCACATATTCTACATGATAAACGTTATATGTATGTAAGTGTCAAATCTATGTGAAGCCTTAAATCTGTGTGCTTGTTATCCACTCCATGTCCTATGCCAAACTGCGTCATATCATTTACTTTGAGGAATAAGCTAACCATGTTAATCTATCCAAGCTTTAGCTTTAGTATTGCTGAATAAGAGACAGTTGTTCCTTAGCAATATAAAAACAAACATCGTTTTGAATATCTGTTAGCCAATTTGCAATATCTATCCCAATGTTAGTGAAACTGGAAAGATGAATTTCCAGAGGAGAATGGTGCATGATATAAATCTGAATACGTTTTGTGATAGCATGGTTTCTTCATGTATTAAAATATGAAAGAGTTTGAACATTTATTTGATACTACTTATTTACAAAAGAGTGACATTAGGCATCAACAATCAGTTAATTTCAAACAAAAGTGTGTTTACCTATTGAAGACTAGACAATAGTTTATGTGAAGTTTAAAGAATAAACAAAATGTTTCGTTGATAAAATATATATTCTATACAATGGATTTACAACCACAGCTTAAGGATTTGTATTACGTCTAGTACCTCTGATTATGTCGATATCCCAATAGCATGAGTTCGAATCCTGGCGAGGGAAGAACAAAAATTTGCTTCCGTAAATTTGCAGATTTAACATTATTGTGCTGATATTTAGAGTAATTGTGTATGTATATATATATATATATATATATATATATATATATATATATATAAATGACTGAATAATAGCCAACGATAAATCTTACGGGGCGATGAATCATATAATTATGATACAGTACACTACAAAATATAATATATAACAAGTCTAAAAGGGTACAACATCACCAAAAAATAATAATAAAATGAACAAATGTTAAATATTTCGGATAACAGATATCCTTCATCAGTATGATCACGATGTAAAATGAATCATATCAATCTAGTCTGATTGTAAAACTATAAGAATCTTGAAACTTATACAATAAAACAGTCAAAACTGAACATCATAGAGACGCTTGTACAATTCTAAAATTTTTAAACATGACGTAGGTTATGTAGCTATTTACAACAAAGACTGCAAAGATATGCTTCAAATGAAAATAGTAATGTGCGATATGAACTGGTACAGCTCTAAAATTTCAAAGGTGACGACAGTTAAGATGTAACAACAACGATTGCGTGGAAATACATTCCCAATAAACAGCACTGACCGATCCAAGCTAGTATAATATTTCAAATTTGTCAACGGTAGAGTAATTAAAACAGAGGCTGCGTATTTAAACATCCCAAATAGATAGCAGTTTGATAATGATTAAAAAAATAATAATAAATTTTGACTAAGGTTAAATAATTGAACATGACTGCGTACTTATACATCCCTCCCAAATGAATAGAACCCTGTAATTTAAACTGGTATTATTAAAAAATTCCTTAAAACTGTAAGAGTCCAGTACGGAAGCCTGAGTTACTGGAAACAAGTGATGGTAGGAAAATGAGTGATAGAAGTGAAAATGAGTGACTTATTCTCTGTTTTTTCATTGGTGCCCTCTGGGGAAACTGTCCTTAGCTTTCTAATCCAAAACCTTTCCCGAGCGAGTCTGTCGGCCCTTGACCAACCCTCGTTGTGGTCTATGATTGTGATGGTTAGGTTTTTGAGATCAGCTTTGGAGTGCCCATTGATCTCAAATGACGACTTATGAGGTCGGGCTTGCAGGTGTAGTCACTTCGATGGCCATTCATGCGTTTGTTGAATGGCTGTTCTGTCTCGCCAACGTTAACATTTGTTCATTTTATTATTATTTTTTGGTGATGCTGTACCCTTTTAGACTTGTTATATATATAAATATATATATTAATTGAATTTAATAAATGCCGATTTCCTTTGTATTGTGATCATTCTGCTCTTTGGTCGGGTTGTTGTCTCTTTGACACATTCCCCGTTTCCATTTTCAATTCTATACATGTAGATATAATTATATTAGTAGCAATATAAAAGTTTAAGTAAATTAGTTTTCTTCATTTATTATTTATATAAAGTCATGTTTAATTGTAATAACGGTATTGCCATTGTAAATATGTATTAAATGAAAATTAATATACTAAAAACAATCTTTTTGTTTTATTGACCTTGCGTATTTTGTTTGTTGATATATCTACATGTAAGGCAATCCATTATTAGAAATATAAAGCAACAGCATCAGATAGTTAAATTTATATTTAACATTTATTATACAATATTTTAACCATTTGTTGTTGTTGTGACAGTTGTTTTGTATGTAAAGTTTTTGAAAAACCATTAGATACGAAGTTTTTTGTTAATGATGTGGTTCATGTCACACAATTTTTTAATATGTACATCCTTCCAGTAAGATCCTGTTGGTTACTTTTCATACCTAATTCCAGACGGTATATGTTTATGAGGATTCTTGTTACATCATTCAATGTAGTCTTTTTTGTAGTTTGTTACAGTATTTGATGTGTTTTGTGGTTTCTGAACAAATCCATTTGGCCTTCCTATATCATATATATATATATATATATATGGTATTCAATTATTTCAACACTACGAATTATTTCATCCACAGTAAGAAAACTCAAAATGTCGTATTTAAAGTTTTTGTCAAGTGGACTGTTATTTTTTTCATTTTATGTTTTCAATAGTGTGTTTGGTTGCTCACCGTCTTTCGAGCATCCTCAAAGGAAATTTTGTAAAAGTTATTTTGGTAAGTGGACTATTAGATGTTTATGTAGTTCGTGTGTCTATATCTTTTGGTTCATCAAATGTTCTAAAGATTTTTTAAACATGTTAAATGAAGCTGAAAATATACATAATGTATTGATAAAGGGGAACGATGTAAACAAAAAAAATTCAATGAATAAATTATAGTAAATCATTTTCGTTTAATTTAAGACTATATTCATCATTGTCACTGTTTTGATTCGTTGATGGAACAATTAAAATCTAGTGTTCCTGTCTTTCATCTCTTTAAAGATAAAACAACCTATATTTTGGCCATATGGTACTTCTAATTATGTTTAAACACAATGTACTTTTTACCGAGATAATTTTCTTTGTTATTAATATTTTATCTAAATCATTTTTTTTATTGCTATTTTCAAGTGACAGCTGACGTTGAAATTACAATACAGGCTTGGCATTTATTGCTTTGTCGTTATTTATCTATAATATTCAATTTTTATTCTGTATGCATAGCACAATGCACTGCAGTGACCATCCACAGTTAGAAAAGTCAGCATGTCACATTTACTGTTTTGGTCAAGTGGTCTCCTCCTTTTATTCATTTCATGTGTTAAATAGCGTGTCTGGTTGCTCACCCTCTTTAGGGCATCCTCAAAAGAAATATTATCGCAGTTTTTTTTATAAGTTTGCACAGTATGCATATTAAAGACACAATCAATTTGCCTAAATTGGAATATAATGAGGAGCCTCAAATGATTCTATTTTAGAGTAAATCTTGTAGCTTCTTAAACATGTTTTACTATGTATACATTTTTTTTTTTCTAATTTTCATGTTTTTTTCACATTTTCTGATCGGTGTGAGAAAAATATTTCTCATCTCTAGAGATAACTGTGTTCATGGCAAATGATTGGTCGAATTTTAATTATGACGTCAAATTTCTAAGCAGTTAAATTTTAATTATTTAAAAAGCTCGGCAAGCCTAGCGCTTTAAATATTTAATTTAACTGTCTCGAGTGGAGAAATATCGTAACACACTTGATGTATAGGTGGAATCTATATATTTATTTATTCAACAGCAATATTATAAATCCAACAATTTTGTTAAGTATATACAAATTATAGTAATTGTCGTTAAAAGCACAGATCAACTTTAAAATGAAATTGCCTTAGAATTAATATGATTGTTTAACGCATTATATTCGAACGAGTTAAACATAATGATTACGTAATTAATAAATGATTAACCGAGAGAAAGAAATAATATATGAAAATGCTGCATAATATGTAACACTATGCAGTGCTTCAAAGAACTTTGAAGTATTAAGTATAATTTTTGATAATAATGGACAGTTATTTTTATCATAACCAGTAAAGGTAAATCGTGGAATATATTATTGTTGTAATTATACAGTGTGACTAAGTAATTACATATAAGTTAATATCATTGACAAGTGGTCATCGTGTTGTGGTCAGTCCATTGAGTACATAGTTTTGTATTTAATTAAAAATTAAGTATTTGTTTAAAACTGTTTGTCTGTGTTTCAAAATTGCAATTTATGCTTAAATGAATAGATAAACCTAAATTGTCTGCTAAAGGAAATTCAATAAAGAACATGCATTATGGATGGATGGAGAGTTGTCTCATTGACACTCATACCACATCTTCTTATTTATATTCATATGTAAATATATCCTGTTTTGCAATTAACTGAATATCAATAACAGGCCAAGAAAATATTAAGTTCGAAATACTTGCACACTAACCATATAATATTTCAATATCTTCCTAAAAATATAATAACATTTTATAACATAAGCACTAGCATATAAAGAAAAGTTGACGAACATTTGTACGACAACATTTATTATAACACTAGTAATTAATAAATAATTATTGAGAACCTCATGGAAGATTAATTTGTTTTCACTAAATGTGTTATCCCTCTTGAAATTAAGAAATTATTTCAAAATTTCGCAGGTAGTTTAATACTGTTCTACGGTAAATTGGCTATTTATTCATATAAAAATCATTAGAATTTGAAATTTTTTTGAATTTTTCTCAAGAATCTTACCCAGAACTAATTTTGGTCATCCCTTATATCATCCATGTGTTATTTTTATTATTTTCATACTTGAATGTGTTAATAAAACTTGAAAGAATCACGGCGAATGCGAATGTTATGAAGGAAAAAAAGAGGGGACTCTAAGGTTAACCGCCATATACTTTGTAAGAGCTTTCGTAATCTCATGTTCATTTCCATATGTGACGACTGTAAATAAAATTTACTTAATATGTACTCTCTTAACTTCAGTTATCATAGGGTTTTTACGACTTTAAGATGACGAACGGCAATAAAGTCTTTCTTAAACAAAATGTTTCTCCTGATAAGAAAATAACACATTTAACCACCCCTAGTGAATGGAAGTATGAAGCCCATTCTATCAAATTCTGCATGTTTCATGAGAAATATTAATCTGCTCACACCTGATAAAGTCTTTGACAATTTTTTTTTCAAAAACATTTTTCAATAGTTCACTGAAATTAGTATGGATCAGAAAACTGTCACATGTATATATGGATCTTTCTAGAAACAATATCTGCTTTAAGCTAGAATTTTTCTATGTTCATTTGTTAAACATGCATCATTCATTCATTGCAGTCTCTTCAGTATAAAACATATGAAATCAATGAATTTGAAAACAAGTACATTGGTCCAGGATTAAAACCAGCAAAAAATTTAATGCTAGGTAAATAAGTACATATTTTCTATTGTTATAGAAAAAATTTAAAATAAGAGATTTCCTAAAAGAGGTGAAACTATTTGTTTATTTAATAAAGCGCATGTGAAAGCATTTACTTATTGAGTTCATTATGAGTAATTATTAATTATTAAATACATAATGTCTATTTCAAAAGTTTCATAAAAACAAAGGCCGTAAATTGACCTATAATTGTTTACTTTCTACACATTGTGACCTGGATGGATAGTTGTCTCATTGGCACTCATACCACATCCTCTTATCTATATATGATAATTTTTCATTCATTTCAAAATAGTTTTCTCATACTTAATATCAAAAGCATTGTTCATGTCACAAATATCATCCTGTTGATTTTCATATGTTATTGTTCTTCTAGAAAATTCTTTATCCCTTAGTTTTTCTTTTAATTCACAGGTAACATGCCAAGAATAATCTTATAAATATATACCAGTAAGCACATGCAGTTACCAGCCTGCCAAATCATGATGTTTGAATTATATTTCTCACTCATTTCACTTTGTATGTATAGATCCAAAATTATCTCAATAACTGGCATCTGATGAGTAATGATGTGAACATTTCCTTTTATGTGTTGATCTTACAAGAAAGAAATGCACAGTCCTATCCTCTGATTTAATATTTTCATTTCTTTGTCTTCAATGTTCCAGAGTCAAATTGAACATGTAATTCTTCCTTTTTTTTTTGTCATACTGAAAGTCGATTCATTCCAATGCAAAGTTCACATGTGACATGGCATGGATTATTTCATATTCAGCACTGTTATAGTTTTGTTATATGACCTCGCACTTTTATCTTTAAAACATTCCTTTCACTTTCTTTTCATGCATAGATCTAAAATCATCTCAATATATGGTTATAAAAGGTCTGACAATTTCCTTGTGTGTGTGTTGATCTTCAAATGAAACAAGTGCTTATTCTTTTTCTCTGATTACTTTTTCCAATTTCACCATTGCTTCCAAGTCGTCTTAATACTGAAAAAAATAATGTAAAACATTTAGTGGCAATTTAAAAGTTATTGGTATTCATGTTATGATACAAATAGAAAACTTCAGTTTAAATTTTGTAATCCTAAATCATTATGGTATTAAAGTTATCTTGAGAAAAGTTCTGCATTGATTTAAAATGAACTTTTAATTTGTGAGGTTTCTGTAATACTACAATAAAAGTTTAACTACAGCTTACTTTAACTGATATTTACCCATCACAATGATCTACCAATTTGTTATTAATTATGACGTTATCAATATTGACTGAATGTAACTCAATACATCTGACACATGAGGGTCTGGATGGTGTTTACAGAAAATGTGCAGAATAAATGCCTAGAAAATTAAAGAATAAAAAAGGACGAATAAGAAAAGAGAATAATTGGGTGTTAAAATATAAAGAATAGGGGAATAATGGGCAAAATAGATAAAGAATAGAAAAACTGTATAAATAAAAAGAATAAAGAAATGAAGAACCCCCATCAAGACTCATACATTATAATATTAATGCTTACATTGTGTAGGCCTCTTGTTTGATATTATAGAAACTACATGTCTTTACCTAAGGCATTGAAATGCCTTTTATGTTGTGCATGGTGTAAATTACTTGCAACAGAAGTTACCATAATTACTGAATGGTTTCAAACTAAATTTTATACACCCCAGATTGTAAATAAACAAAAATATGTAAATTATTTCAAGTTTTGCATCGACTTCAGATACAAATTTTTATAGTTAATCAATATAACAAATAAACATTAATCTAATGACTATAAACATAAACAATGATAAAAGTAGAAAAAAATGAATAAAGAAAAAAAATTAAATGTACACAAAAAGGGATGATTTAAAATGATAGAATGATGCGGGCATGGTGCTCTGACTTTTAACAAATTCCACTCCTTACACTGCATTGTTGATCATGGGCCATATTTAATATTCTTGGACCCGCATTTGTGCATGGCAGGTCAGTCTGCAAAATGTCGACATAAAGTTACTTAGTCAATGGTCAATGAAGATAGAATTGTTTATAAGCGAGTAAAATAGTGTTGACTTGCATAAATTATTCATAGGAAGTTTGTCTATACAGACTGCCCTAGTCATGTTGACAGCAAAAAGTGTAACAAGCCCCCTTTTTAGGTAAACAATGCAGCTTTATCTACATTCATACTCAATCGAGACTCAATCATCAATTAAATGAATATTGTTGAACCTCGGCAGTTGAAGGCTAAAATAATTCAAAAACAAACATACCTCAAAATATAAGCACCGTCCTGCTATATGATCGTGTTTTTGATGGACGGTTGACACTGACTTCTATCATAACAAGGTGCCCGATCAGCTGTTGGTGACAAGCTCACACTTGACGTCAAAGAAACGTTCTAGCCAATCACGTGTCGCATAGTTTAGCAAATGACGTCAGATTTAGATTTCGATGCAATCATCGAAAATCAGTGCCTATTTTTTTAAAAGTGCATTAACCTGCCTGCGTTATCATTATTATCATTCATTGCAATAGTAATGGTCATATTATAATAATTGTTTCAAGTGGTACAGGAAAGCAACTTTATTTTGTGAAATTAAACATTGTTGAAGATGGTCATGAATTGCATTAAAAATTCATGTATTTGTGTTTTACTTCTTCCCAGATAATGCGCATATATGGTTTATATTGACATGAACTAAAAAGTCGAATTAAAAACTATTTCATATGACGTGTCGACATGTACCTTTATTCTTATAAGAACAACAGCTACTAGTTTTAGGGTGTAGGACGGCATGATTGCATAAAAGCAGGTTATGAAAGTACAACAATCTTCATTAAGTAACAGCGAGTATTCTTTGATGCTGGAATGTGATTACGTGGTTAAATAAATGTATGGAACTATTGAAACGTTAACAAATGTTGGAAAAAAAAAATATCAAGAGCAAACAAATAAAACAGATACCTCCTGAAGGAAGAGTGTCATGTTTCTGTACATTAAACACATCATGCAACCACTCTTCAACTTGTCCGTATTTGGCCTGTTTCATATCTTCTCCTTTCCATCCTACACTCCATTGCCATTGGCAGTTTAAATTCCAACCCTTCATTACGTCAACTTTTTTGTCTAGAAAGGTCTATTTGATTGGTTGATATTTTTTTTTCTCTTCCCGAAAATGCATAAAGTTCATAACACAAACAACAATCTATCAATCGAGATAACATTGATGATAATCCTTGAGGATTATTGAAAAAAATATAATAAAATACTTACCTTATTGGATCAATTTAATCCGCTCGGACATACTTTTGTTTCGTATTGTCTTAAATAAGATATAAAATAGACTCATCCGATACTAAAAGCCCCGATACCGTTTCTGCATAGGACGTCTATTTGGCCATGTGGGTGCTATAAATACACACCTCCGTCCAAATGAGTACAGAGATAAATAAACACAACCCACTAGTGATACGAACTTTAAACCAATTGTACGAATGAAGATCAGTCTGAGGAGTATTTTCAGAATAAATAGTATGCTTATTTATTTTAGAATATACCTTGGAAAAAAAAAAAATAACAAACATACCGAACTCCAAGTAAAATCAAAAACGCAAAGTTTTTTTTATCAAAAGGCAAAATAAAAACCTCAAACAGACGAATGGAAAACAACTGTCACATTCCTAACTTGGTACAGGCATTTCCTAATGTAGAAAACGGTGGATTAAACCTAGTTTAATATCTAGCTAAACGTCTCACTTGTATGATTGTCATACAGAACTCCATTATATTGACAACAATGTGTGAGCAAACTGATCAGAATATTCCATTAGCAAGTATTCATAGTATTTGTCAATTTTACCTATTACTTAAGTAAACATAATATAAAATAGCGTGGTCTTGGGCTGTTTTCTGCCTTTTGGTCGTGTTGTTGTCTCTTTGACACATTCCCCGTTTCCATTTTCTCTTATATTTAACTATCCTTTTTTAATCATGAAATTGTGTGTAAACACACAGAAAAGTAATTTATCTTCATGTAGATAATGTATTTATTTTTTTTCAGTTATACGTGGGACGGTAAAAAGTGTCATTAAAATAGATGGACCACCTGAAGATGTTAATGATAATCTTGCTGTGTATAAATATAGTGTACTTATCAATAGGAAAATCAAGGTAAACTAGCAAGGAATATGTGATGACTTGTCCCATTATTTGTGTACAGTTTGCCGTTTCAGAATCAGATGGACTATGTTTATTTTCATTATTCGTACCCAAAATGAAAAATAACGTCGCGTCATTGGTTGAATATCAATGGTTTAAACGTTTCTAACCAATCAAAATGTTTCGGTGTACGCCATTGTACTATTGTGCTAGGGTCAATGTTTTACTCATGTCTTTCATTGTTGCTTATGTATTTTTCCTATAGAGTGTCTATATGCAATTTTGTTTTTCTTTGTTGAAATAGTTATATGCTTTTATGGTGATTCAGATTATAACACTATGTTGACGGCTGTACCCTAATTTTTTACATTTTTACCTATTATCTCTGTTTGTTTTGCTCACACATTGTTGTCTATATTATGGAATTGTATGCGACTGTCATACAAGTGAGAGGTTTAGCTAGTTATCAAACCAGGTTTAATCCAACATTTTCTACATAAGGAAATGCCTGTACTAAGTCAGGAATATGACAGTTGTCTTCGGTTCGTCTGATGTTCTGAGCTTTTAATTTTGCCATTTTATAAAGGACTTTCTGTTTTGAATTTTCCTTGGAGTTCAGTATTTTTGTTATTTTACTCTTTTCGTCAAGGTCCTATTATGGCCCATATTTATAGATAAAACTGGAAAATACTATTCAATGACCAATATCACAATGAACCATAGCAAAAAAAAAACAATGACTAAAAAGGCAAAACAAAATGTACTGACAAAAATAACAAGGTTATTAAAAAAGGGGAGTCCGCATAACTAAAAAACAAACAAATGACTATTCCAACAAACGAACAAAAACAACTGTAATATACTTGACTTGGTACAGGCATTTTTCGAAAAAAAAATGGTGGTTTAAAACTGGTATAATAGCTTGCTTATCCTCCCATTTGTATGACAATTGTTTATGGTAATGTTATATTTACGAAATTGGAAAATGAAGCGAAACAGACATAATTGGTTAGTGGGACAATAGAGATTCAGCAGTCATAATGTGTAAACATACATAACAGACATACGGCACAACTGGCTAAGCAATTCAAACAAACATACAATTAAACCTAGCAAAGACGCCAAACACATTTTTTTGTGTAGTTTATTCTACATAGAGTATGTCAAATGAATAGGAGAAAACCACCACCGAAAACAGTTTTTATAGTTGATAGTACATACAATATTGTAAAACATAATAAGTATTTTTGTTGAAAATGTATGTACGTAGGACTTGAAACACAGAGACCATGCACCGACAAAAAAGAAATTTTAACATTATGTTCGTTATAACAATTTGCATATCGGACTTGAATATACAAATAAGGAGATGTGGTATGACTGCCAATGAGAAAATTATCCTCCAGAGTTAAAATAAAGTGTATGCAAGCAATAATAAGCCACCGTAAGGCTGTCAACACTGAGAAAAACCTATAACGTATAGTCGATATAAAAAGGCCTTTCCAGGAAAAATGTTAAACACTATATACGAGAAAACTAACGGCCTTATTGCATGTATTTATAACAAAACAATTTATAAAAAAAATACATATTTGACAGACAAGAACCAACAATAACTACTGAACCACAGGCTTTTGACTAGGGACAGGCACATACAGAATTTGGTTAGGTTGAACATGTTGAACAATTGTGAATATTAAGTTTGTCGAAGCCTGCGCTCTATGTTTCGTTTGCCTACATTTGATTGAAATCAAAACGATTTTGTCATTTTCACCAAAATCTCTATTTTGTGGCCTAGTTGACTTATGAATGTCAACACTTTATAAGAAAAATGGAACAAAAATAGTTCTGTTTTTTTTTCACTTTTTTGTGTATTTTGATTAACTTGACGCATTTTCATCTCGAAACGATTAATGTTTGGGGCCAAATATTGGTATAACTTAACTAAACTTTTAAAATGCTCACGAGTTATTCACATCTTGTTTAAATTTAAACATGCTCAGACTTCACATATCGAATAGACACTTTTCTATTGCTGAGGAATGTAGAACGCCATTTATATATCTTTGTGTAATTTGTGTCA